AGATACTGTGCTATTTGGAGCTACTTAATTTTAAGTTTAACAGCACAACATAAAATCAACTTAAGGGCTTGTTTTGTTTCTAAAACTTGTTTCTTTTTGTGTGTGTGTGCTGGTCCTGGGAATTGAACTCAGTGTCTGAGTGCTGTCCCTAAGCATTTTTGGTCAAGGCTAGGCCATTACCACTTGAGTCACAGCTCCACTTCCGGCTTTTTGGGATAAAAGAGTCTCACGGTCTTCCTGGGCTAGCTTTGAACATAGATCCTCAGATTTCAGCCTCCTGAGTAGCTAGGATTACAGATGTGAGCCACTGGAACCTGTCTAAAACCCTTGTTCCTTAGAGCACTACTACCAGGAGGTTCTCTGGCCTTAGAAACTCTTTAGACTTGTGTGGCCAGGAACAGAGAGGGGGCTAGCATTTGCTGAAAATCAGAAGAGCGTATACACGGTTACTTGGAGGGCCTCAGAGAGACATGAGCTTTGTGAGGCATGGGTAGCAGGTATCCCTGCTGCATGGCAGTGGCAGACATCCCATTGGTCTTGGTTGTTTCAGGATGTGATAGCAATATACCAATATAACAATATGGATGGTTAGCATATAAACAAGAGAAACTTATTTCCCACAATACTAGAGGCTGGGATGTCCAAGATCAAGATGATGACAGATTTTGTGTTCGATGAGGACTATTTTCTTATATATAGCTACCCTCTCACTGGAATCTACATGGTAAAGGATCTCTCTGGGATCTCTTCTTTGCAAGGATTCTGCCCTTCTGACCTAACCCCTTTCCATGGGTTGTTTCTCTTTATACCATGACCCTAGGATCCCAGAAAATGAATTTTGGGGGACTCTAACATTCATATGATAGCAGGGAACATTATAGAAATTTCTAGAAATGTCTGAGGTAGTTTTGAGAGGCATTAGAGGTTTTGTAATAGAGTGTGAGAGAAAAGGGGGAAAATGGCTGAATGTGATCACTGATCACTGCTAATGTAATTAAGCCACTTCAGTAGTACATGACTCAAGAGATGGAAAACAAAAAAAACCACACACAAATAACATCAGTTTCACATTCCTTTTACTAATGGAAGACTGAAGGAAGAATTTTTCACCTTTAGAGGCCATCTCCTTACTATCACATGTGCTGGGTATAAAAATGCTCAAAGATTCCATTTATACTCTGCTGTGGCCTGAGGAGGACTTAATTCTTTTTTCAAATGTTTGAAGTAAGATTAGCAGCAGTTTGAGTCATCAGAAATATCTGATAGTCTTTAGAGTCATCTGTGGGAAGACTGCAAAATCCTTGGGGACCCTGATGAAAATTTTTGATCTACCTTTGTGCTTAGCTTTTTTTAAGTTCTAAGTACCAGTTTTAGAATGTATGGCAGAGTTTCTAGCCTCCAACTTCATTAAAACTGTTACCAGATATGCTGCAAAGAGTGTAAGCTAGATCATGGAAACTATTTCCAGGACTGGCAGTGTGGTCAACTCATATAAAGCAATGGTTCAAAATTCACGTGCAAAGCTTACCTGTAGCTTAATTTCCTTAAGCAATTTCTCATGAGGCATTCATCAGTTGTGTTATTCCTTCAGCCTTCATCAAGCTGAAGGACAAAATGATGTATGAGATGACATAAACCAGGGATAAACCAGGGATTTCAGTAAGAGGTGGTTCATGCTTTCAAGTTCAGATATTATTGGCAAGCAGATGGGCTTAAAAACCAAGCCACTATCCCACAATGGCATATAGAACTAACCTATTGTGACATTGCATGGGAGAGTAAGTAGTTCATCCCCACTGGGATGTGTTGCCTTGAGGGGTGGAAGAGAGATAGGGAAGTTGCATTGTGGGAGATGGGGAATAATCACAGGAAAAATGACTTCTGTCCCATGGGGTCCTCTTTGATCCAGCACCCAGAATTAAAGGCCTTTAATGAAAAGCATCTGCAATTGCTCAACAGCTGTGTGGCATGCAGGCTGCGAAGAAGGCTTTGGCTTTGGAAAGGAATTCGCTCCACAGCATTTCCTACATGTCTTGATATTGTGAAAAGGCACCAGAGATAGAAATCATCAGAGCACTCAAAACTGCTCTTGATTTTCAGTCACACAGCAGACAGAGTGATTTTGAACCACCGTGGATGGTGACTGGCAGTCTTTTGAAATCCCAGAAAGCAAGTGAACTGGATGGATGGGTCACTCAGGGAAACCAGGCAGCAACATTAGTGCTAGTGGGAATGTGATGATACTTGCCTATAATCCTGGCTCAATATCAAGGTGGAGACAGGCGGCTTGTTTGGGTATGGCAACTCCTTGGACACACAACTGGAGTTGGGAATAGGTAAATTCTGGAGGAAGGAAGAGACTCTGGACAGCTGCATGAGATTCATGCTGGGAGATTCAGTGGAGTGCTGTGGATGACCTTCATGTTTGTCAGACCTTCCTCCTGGGATGGTTCTCAGTGCCCCCACAGCACTCGAAAATCTTCCACCCTGGCTCTACCATGCTGTCGTCATTTTGTGTCGACTCCTGAGACCACCCACACCCACACCAGGTGTGGCTGGTCCTACTTATTTCTGTGTCTTATCAGTTTTGGAGTCTTCAGTATCCAAGGTCTGTCTCCTAATAGGATTCATGTGGAAAAGCCAAACAGAGAACAGCCCTGAATATCTTCAAATTTACTCTAGGTTCAAGAGCATCTCTGAATAATTCTTTGTAATCCATCATCAGCCAGAGCAGCACCATGGCTCAAAGAGGAGTTTGTCTATTGTAGGAGAGAGAGGCTGGAAGGCTTGCCCCGCTCATTTCCTCACAGTTTATTATGCGGAAAAACATAAGCTTTCTGTTTTCCTGGGTTGTTAACTTGGCACCTCATTTTACATATAGAACTCGCATTAAAAAACACCATCTCTATGAATTAATCAGCCGTTTAGAGAGCAAAAGTACTTTGCAGTCTGAGGATGCTGAGTGCTGAGAGCTCATCTTCAGGGAAGAATGGCACTATAGGCCAGGTGTGGGAGAGACTTCGGAGCTAGATACCCAACCATTTAATCCCCAAAATAAGCTAATGAAGTTGGTAGGAGGCCCACTTCAAAGATGATGAAGATGACTCTCAAAAGGTCAAATGATAAGTCCAAGGTCACACCGCTGGTAGGAGCAAAAAACCCCAATGTCTGACTCAAAGCAGGGGGCTTTCTCCCTAATTCATTCATTCATTTTACTTGCCAAATCATTATACTTAGGATTTTCAACATCATTTCAAAGTATCTATAAATTGTGGAGTGGCTAAATTAAGCTAATTGACATATGCATTCCCCTCACATACTTTTTGTGTGTTGAGAATACGTTCAAAGCCAGTGGTTTTTAAAGAACTTCATTTAGACTCACACAAGGACTTGGGAGATGTTCGTTACAGCCCGCCCATCCTGTGGGAGACTAATCAGCAGTCCTTATAATGTTACTGATGGATCTTCAAAGATGCAGGACTACACAACCTGACTGGGGGAGTATTCTGGTAAGGAAGTGCTTCACTTCCTCTGTCCAGCAGGCTCTGAGACAGACAGGGAGGAGAAGAAATGAGCAATCTCTTCTAGAGAGACCTTGAGAGTCTTCTACAAGTTTATAGTCTATTGGCATGGATAATTTCCCAGGAGCCTGTCTGCAGCAAATTAGCACAGACAGAAAGGGATTCTTACATAATTCCAGAGCTTAGAAGTCCAGTCAAGGTGTTGGCAGGATTGTGTTCCCTCTGAGACTCTAGTAGCCCCCTCCTTGGCTCTGTCTTGCACAAGGTGGTGGTGGTAGCTGTCAGCACTCCTTGGTTTCCTACTGCACCACTCCAACCGGTCTCTGTTGTCCCATGGCTGTCTGTCCTTGGTTTTGCTATCTTTCCATGAGGCCATTTTGGTGAAAAGTTCTACCCTAGGCTAATAGGCTGTCATCCTAATGAATTACATCTGCAACAATTCTGTTTCCAAAGAAGGCCACATTGTGAAGCTCTAGGGTTTAGGATTGCCACATCCCGCAAGTCAAGTCACAATAGCGTGCTTCTTTTCCAGCTGCTTCCTATATGCTTTGGCTTCCAGTAGCCTGTGTTTGCAGAACCCCTTCCCAGGAGTGAACATCTTATATCTGGAGGAAGTGCTCAGGCTGGTTAATGGGAATCATAACCCCTACATTATGAAGTTGCTATGAGGAAAAATTGAAAAATAAAACCCTATGTAAAGACTTTCTGGGCCAAGAGTAGATGTTTGACTAACAAAGTTTCTGTATTAGTGTGCTTTCCATTGCTGAACAACATACCCAATAAGTAACAGGTAATAGATTTAAACTAGCTCACAGTTTTGGAGGCCAGAATTCTCACAGACTTTCCTGCCTGATGAACACCTCAGCCTCCTGAATAGCTAGGATTATGAGTGTGAGCCACTGGTCCCCAGTTTGCACGAGCCTCTCTAATATGGTATATGCCTTCACTTCTGTTGGAGAATACAGGATTGACTTCACAAATGTGTAACGTGCAGCTGCATAGGACCCGGTACTCAGAAAGGCCACATGCCTGGTTTAATATGGTCATCTTGGAATTTTTTTTTATTATTTTTTTTAGTTCTTTCGCTTTTTAATTTATCTCCAATAAGCAGTATCTTCTGCCCATCCCCACGTGGCAATTGGGTCCCAAGGGAGAAGGGGGGCCCAGCACCCACTTTGAGAACCGGAGGCAGCCACTGGGGAGCCCTTCAGGCTCAGAGCCCCCCACCCCTGAGAAAACTGGGGTAAATTTGCATTGGTTTACTTGGCTACCAGTCCCTGGGAAGAGTAGAGTGGGGGGATTCTTCAGCCCTCTGTCCTGGAACAGTTAGAAGTTGGGGGGGGTCCCCCTGACCCCTGGAAATGGTTAGAGATTAAGGGAGGCTGTTCCTTATGGGGGTGGTTAGCGATTGTGGGTGTTAGAGACTGGCCAGGATGAAGTAGAGACAGCTGGGAACCCCACTTTTGAGTGGTAGTTAAGAGACTAAGCGTGTGTGCTGAGTCCTGCAGACCTAAGCTGCAGGTTGGAGGGGCTGTGCTGGTTTGGGGGCTGGTGTCCATCACTGGGGCCCCTCCTTCTCTGTGGTCTTGTCCCCGTCCTTGGCAGGAAGTGGTGACTTCCTGGGAGAAGTAGGGTTGGGGTTGGAGGTCCCTGACCCCGACTGGGCATCTATGCTGGCATGTTCCCTCCGGACCAGGTCTTCTAGATCCTTCTTCCATCCCAGGAGGTCAGCGAGCGCCAGGCAGCCCTGGTCACAGTCACCCAGCCAGGCCACATCCCTGTAGGCTTTCTTGGAGTCAAAATCCATGCCTCCGCCCAGGCCCATCATCATCCCTAGGAAGGGGTCTGTCTGGCCCGTCTTTTCTTTGTTGATGAGCAGGCGTGGGGTGGAGAGCGATGCCTTGCCAATGAGCGAGGCGAAGGGCTGCACCTGCAGGGAGGTGCCCATGATGATGAGAAGATCAGCCTTCATGAAGTCCGACTGCATGCAGGAGAAGAAGCGTGCTGGGAGGTTCTCACCAAAAAATATGATGTCAGGCTTGACCAAACTTTGACATTTCTCGCATTTGGGGATTTCTTCTGAGAAGATCTTTTCTTTCATCCAGCTCAGCCCATACTCCTGCCGGCAGACGGCGTTGACGCAGTGTGATGTATGGAAAGTACCATGGGCCTCCACCAGGTCCTCGGGCTCCAACCCGGCTGCTCGCTCCAGGGTGTCAATGTTCTGCGTGTAGCAGCGCAGGAGCTGTCCCTTCTCCTTCAGCAGGCGGATGAAGTAGTGGCAGATGGTCGGCTTGAACTGCCCTGGATATAGCTCCTTGGTGAGGGCAAAGAAGGGTTTGGATGTTTCTTGAAGTAGCCAATTTCAAAGATGGCCTCCGGGTAAGGAAGATGGTACTTCTCCAGGTTGGCATACAGCCCGTGGTTGGAGAACGGAAGTCGGGGATGTCCGCAGATGTGGAGATTCCTGCTCCCACCAAACAGATGACCTTGCGACAGCGCTCGCTCTGCATGTAGCGAGCCACCCCTTCCAGGGTGAGCTCATCCAGCAGACGCTCCTTCTTGGAGCCCAGGCCCAGGGTCTGGGAGAAGAGATTCCGCAGGAAGTCCATCTCTTCCTCTCCACCGGCTGCTCCTCCCTCAGTGTCTGAGTCCGAGTCGGTCGGGTTCGGCCATGGGCGCCCGGCACGGGGCCCTTGGGGCTGTCACCGACTGCTCGGTCCCGTGACGGCACCGGAAACCCTTGGAATTTTTTTTTTAATTTTAATTTTTTTTATTGTGAACATACTGTACAGAGGGGTTACAATTACATGGGCAAGATAATGAGTACATTTCTTACCAAGCATTGCAGCCTCCTCCTTTGTTTACCCTTCACCTCCCTTCCCAGCCTCTCCCCCTCCCGTCCCCCCCCAATTCTCCTCTCCCCCCACCAAAGTTGTAAAGTTCATTTTCGACATGACAACTTGTACTTCTCATTGTTGCAATGGGTCCACCTGTATCCTTAAACGACTTGTTTTTCCCCGTCTCCTCCACAAATTATACCGACATCAAATATAGTGAAAGCAGGGGTTATACTGCAACAAAGAGATAATCTTATAAATGCATTAGAAACAAATGCATGAAAGAAAAAACATTTAAATACATATCTAAGGGTTCATTTTCCTAACATCACATTATCTGACCTTTTCTGCTTGACTCATACATATACTAGATATTGCAAATAAGGGAAACCATGGGACCTATGTTTCTTTGGGCTTGGCTTACTTCACTTAATATAATTTTTTCCAAGCCTCATCTTGGAATTTTTTTTTAACCTTAGAAGTTGGGCATATACATGGTGGGGGGGAGGATTGGGTGGGGGGGAGAAGCTGGGAAGGGATGTGAAGGGTAAACAAAGGAGGAGGCTGCAATGCTTAATAAGAAATGTACTCATTACCTTGCCCATGTAATTGTAACCCCTCTGTACAGTATGTTCACAAAAAATAAAAATAAAAATTAAAAAAAGAAGTTGGGCATATATATTATGTAGTCAGTTCTGCATAAATACCTAGGTATAGGCTTATGGGGTTGTAATCTTAACTTTGTAAGATAATCGCAACATGTTTTTCAAAGTGATGGCACTCTTTTTGCATCCCTACCAGCAATGTACAAGAATTCCAGTGGCTTCGCGATCTCATCAGGTTCTGTTGCTTTCTACTGTGGTTATCTCTCCAAATGTTTAGAGCTAGAGGAAGGCATAATATACTGTGAAGGTCATACTGCTGGTCCATGAAAAACTCTCTCCACTCCCTACACCGCCCCAGCTCTCCTTTGCATTTTGACTTCCATGTGTTAATAAGAGACCAAATACATTCTCTGGAATAGGAATAGCAGAATGCATAGACTTATGAAGATGAGTAATCATGGTCTTCTCTTTGTTCTCAGGTGATACTGTCATATTGTCAGCTAACCTATGGATAAAGGTTGGGAATTTAAATATTTTCTAAACTAATTAATTGTGAGAATTAAACTAGTCTTTAATTCATGACCAACAGCAACTCAACAAAAAGCTATTTAAGTTCTCCTATATGATGTATGGTTTTAATAAGGGCTGTAATTATTTAACTTAAATATTTAATCAAAATAAGCATGAAATTGAAAAGACATTCTGGTTTCAGGTACACCTTCACCAGGACCGTGGTGCTTAACAAAGCAGCATGCTTTGTTAAGACTCACTTTCATTAGAACAAAGACTTTCTGCAACCCAGATATTTCATATATATATATATATATAATATATATATATTTCTTCTTTAAAAATCACCTACCTGGCTATAGAAAGGAAATTGGTAGATTTGATATGATGAGATTGTCAAAGAACTACATTTTTGCTGTAGTCACATTGTAATCTCATAGATACTTTTACAAAGCAACCAAAATGCAATCTAAGCATTTTGCTTAGAAGCTATTGCTTCATAACAAAAGCTGGCTACTGCATTTTCCATGGTTCCTTAAAACATTATAATAGAAATGTTTCCATCCTTAAGAGAGTACTGGTCAACGTGGCACACACTAGCTTGTGCTTTTGGATGCATTTTAAGGACAGCAAGCTGTCGTAAAATAACAGTAAGTGAAATACGTTAAGCTGCATAGAGAAAAAGCTAAGATTTACTGAATCAAGAAAAGAAAGACTTAAGTGGAGAGAGACATTGCAGTCACAGTTCAGAAGACAAAAGATGCCTGTATGGTTCTGTCTAGGACACAGGAATGAAATACTTTCAATCAGAACCTTAGAGGGTCTCAGGAAGAATTTGATAAACTCATGCAAAAAGCTATCAATAGGACTCAACAAAAAAGAATGATCAAAATAATGTTGAGAGGATTTGAACAAAGGAATTCTGCCAGGTTCTGATGGCCCATACCTATAATCCTAGCTACACAGGAGGCTGAGATCTGAGCATCATGGTTCAAAGCTAGTCTGGACAGGAAAGTTCCACAAGATTCTTATCTTCAATTAACCACCAGAAGTGGAACTATGGCTCAAAGTGTTAGAGTGCTGGACTTGAATAAAAGTGCTCAGGATAGGCCCTGAGTTCAAGCTCTGTAAATGACTAAATAAATAAATGTAAAAACAGGAAAGAAATTCTTACTTCGTTAGTTATTAAGGCTTTTAAGAAAACAGTCTTTTGGGGAAATTTCTAGTTTTTTCCCCCCATCAACCTGAGGTTAGGTATAAACAATGATGAATGTTTGAGTAGCAAGTGGTAAACTAAATCGATATCTTTATATTATAAATATATATCTATCTACAAATTTTTCTTCAAGACATCTCAACCATGCTGACTTCTTGTTGGACTGAGATTTTTTTCCTCCACAAGGGTCAATCAATATTATCCTGTGTGGACCTCGTTCCTGTATGAGAGTTCTTGCTGATTCCTTCAAAAATGCCATGGAGCTTTTAATATTAATAGAAGGCTCAGTATCTTTCCATTAGTGTATTCCATATAATACTAGGATGTTCAGATTGGTTCCAAGAGCAGATGGATACTGAGCGCATTTAAATGACAGAAAAATAACTGTATTATTGATACCCTGAGTAACAGACAGATTAAGTGAATCACCAGAACGGTTTCCATAAAGCGTCCTTCATAATTTCTGGCGGCTCATTTTCATATTAACTGGAATGAATTTCTTCTAAAATATAATCAGATGGAAGATGAGAGGGGGCGAAAAATGGACTCATCGATGGAAGGGCAAACAATCCTTCTTCCCTAAGGAATTAGGTTGCTTTTTAATTTAAAGTTCCAGCACATGAATAATGCTCCTGTTTCCCCAGAGTGACTATGGTTGGGATTTCTACGCAGTTGAGAGAGCCAGGGGAAAGCAGAGGCACGATTTTCACAGCTTTCCACCTATGGCATCCTTTGTCCCTCTTCACGCTCTATTCCTGGTGCTGGCTCCCATCTAGGATTCAATACTCCTGTCAAGGGCAAAGATAAGGAGCAGAAGCTATCCCAGGCAAAGACCATGTGGCATGACATCAGCCACAGGATGCTCATGCGCGTTTAGTGTACTGCTTATTTTCAGCACTCTCCATCACGTCTTGTGACTCCGGATCTGCGTCCTCTTTGAGCCTTGTACGCGTCTCACTCCTGTCTCATTTCCATGCCCTAAGAAGGCTGGCTCCTTCTTGGTTATTCAGGTCACCTGAATATTCTTGTATGTGTAGAAGGGCACATTTGTCCCTTTGACATACATTTAACACGCGTCTCCTGGGTGTGAGTGTTGTCACGTCATGGTCAGGAATGATTTTCATCAGTCAAACCTTTACACCTTCTGTTCTGCCCTCCGCACAGAGGGCAGGGGATGCTAACCCGAAGCTCCCAAACCGGAAGTGGCTGCTGCTCCCTACACGGCTACAAAGGAGGTCCTTTGTTTCTGTCTCAGAAAGACCACTGATGAATCCTTGTGAACTTCCTCCGTTTTAGGGTTTATAGACCAGAAATCTGGGAATCCTTCTAAATCCTTCTATATACTTGATCTCTCTCTCTCTCTCTCTCTCTCTCTCTCTCTCTCTCTCTCTCTCTCCAGGGCTGGGGATGGAACTCAGGACCTCTTGCATGCTATGCAAGAACTCTACAACTGAGCAACAATCTTATACCTGACCTCTTGTATCCATCTCATAAAGACCTATTTGTTTTGCCTGCTTGTTATTTCTCAAATCCAGTCTCTGCTTCCTCCAGCTTGAAATCACACGCACACACACACACACACACACACACACACACCACACTTCCTCATGTAGTCCAGGTTGTCCTTGAACTCACAGTCCTCCTGCCTCAGCATCCTCAAGTGCTGAGTTTGCAGGTGTATGCCACCACACCTAACCTGTTTCTCCATCTTCATTGTCAGCTGACTTCATCATATCTTGCCTGGACTAATTGCAGTTACCTAACCCACCTTCGAGTTCTTGCCATGCCTCCCTTTACCTGCTCTCAAGCTTGCTTCCCAGGGTGATGGTCTTCCTAAACTGCAAGTGATTATGCCTTACTCTATTTGAAACCTCCCAGTGACCCGTCATTGGCGTGCAGGAGTCTTACCCACTGGGCATGCAGGCCTGTACACTCCTCCCCTCTCCTCCCCTCCCCACAGCAGCCCCCCCAGCCCTTCCAGCTGTAACTTTTGTTCCTTTCCATTCGCCATGCCCTTTCTGACCGTACGGAATGACCTGCAGGTCTTCAAGTGGGCCCCGCTTTGCACTTTGATCCACTTACGCAGCATGGCCTTGCTCCTGGCCCGTGGAGCACAGTCCTGTTCATTCTTCCACCTGCAGTTCAACTTCATAACACTCTTGGGAGCTTTCTCTGGACTCTCAGGGCAGATTCTTTTCCCCCCCCTTTGTCCATTAGCGTGCTCAAGAGAGTGTGCACATGTGTGGGCCGAGGAGCTGCCTTCTCTCTTCTGTTCTTCCTTCTCCAGGAACTGGGTGAAGGAGGCTAAGTTACAGCTGCACCTAGCATCCAATTCTGGGCCCTTAGTTCTCCACTGATGACCTTGAGCTTATGCATTACCGAAAGGTAGGACTATCCTTTGCTTTTCCAGAAGGTACAGCATCACTATCTTCTTGGGAACTTACTTTTTAACAAGTGTCTTTTGAGTTTCTTGAGTAACAACTCTATCTTCTTGGGAACTTATTTTTTAACAAGTGCCTTTTGAGTTTCTTCTCAGGCATTGCCTGTCCCA